TGGGCAAATGAGCCTGTATTTTCAAGAAGCATTTAGAAAATGTGACATATAATTCAAGAAGTAAAATAGGCTAGGAAACACATTGTATTTTGTAAAAATAAAGTTTAAAGTAAAAAGAAATTACAATAGGAAAAAGTGAATATTTTAAAGAATAGGCAAAATCAGGAAACTTCAGTAAGTCTTTAAAAAGTCTCATTTCTTCTTGATTCAATTATGGTTAGAACAAATGGTGGGAGACCAAATCTTGTTTAAACTGGAAATTTTTCTCCTAAGTATAATACCGGAGTGGTTTAAGAAAGATACACTTTATTTAATTATACATGTATTAACTGCGGCGCGCATAATGTATGCACAATATTGGAAAAAAGAAAATACCCCATCAGAGCTAGATATAATCAGAAAAGTGTTGGCCTGTACGGAAGCAGACAGGCTCACTCTTGAACTTAAAAATTAAGGGGAATCAGAATATTTTGAAGTCTGGAACAGATTTTATGACTGGTATAAAACAAGGTGACAAAACTGGAACAAACTTTATGTATTGTGATTGGACAGAAGGATAGACAATATATTAAGTAGGCTAATTGTTAATGGTTGAGACTAGCTGTATATAATGTGAATGTATGGTCACTTCGACTTCGCGGTACTGCATTGTTTTAAATGTAAAAATAATAAAAATATATTGAAAAAAAAGTCTCATTTCTTTATATATACATATCTATATCTTTATATGTCAGACTTACTTCATAATCTTGTAGTATGGAAGGCTGCCTTGCAATGTCATATAATTTTCTAAAATCTGTTCCATTACCATATTAGGTATTTTCTTTTATATCTGTAATCCTTGGGATTATTTCAAGAATGCTGATATCTCTTTCTTGGTCCTCAAGGGCCCTGTACGGTTACATAGATTTCTTAATATTTATGCAGTAGTTTATAAAGAAACTGTGCATGTTTTTATTGTCTTCTTTTATGAAATCAAACTGTCCTGTGAAGGCAGATACATATTTAGTTTAATAAAATGATATCTTAAGAAAGTATAAAAGAAAGTACGGTTTGCAATTCCATGATTCTGCTGTAATATCACCTAACTTTCACCATCTCTCAACTAGTGGCAATAATTCCATTGGACACTTTGAACTGTTTCTCTCATCTGAATGAGTTATTTGTTTGCAATTTTTGTCTACTTTTATAACCACATAATAGATTTCTGGTGCTAACTTCATGAGCCATAATATCACAATTAACATTAACATAAAACTTGTAACCAATCCAACAAACTGCAATAAAAAGGCATCCACTCCATCATTGTCAAAAAGTTCTAATGAAACTCTTTAATCTTAAAACAACTTTTAGTTTACCATCAGAATGTGCCAGCCTGGCTTTGGGGCAGGCGGTTCTATAGGACAGAGGCCATCACTTCACTGGACCAATATGAAAACATATCAAGAGAGATCAGCTTCATTTGACTTTATATATTAAAATAAGATTTTAACTGCATCCAGAAATGTATTGAGAGTCAGTATAGAGCTCATAGAACTGGTGCTATGTACTTATGATAACTTGTATCTGCTACATTTCGTATCATTTGAAGTTTCATGTAATTTTCAAAGATAACTCAGTAACGTGATTAATTTAACCGTAGTTTTTAAAAATCTTCATACCACACTGAATAATGAACTAGTTACATGGGGTGGATTCATACAATCTGCTAAATATGATTGACTACAGGTAGTCCTGAACTTATGACCACAATTGAGCCAAAATTTCTGTTGTTAAGCAAGAGAGTTGTTGACAGTTGCTCCATTTCACAACCTTTTTTGCCACAGTTGTTAAGTGAATCACTGCAGTTATTAAGTTAATAACACTTTAAATGAATCGGGCTTCCCCATTGATTTTGCTTGTCAGAAGTTTGCAAAAGATGATCACATGATCTCATGACACTGCAACCATCATAAATACATGCCAGTTGCCAAGCATCTGAATTTTGATCACATGACCATGAAGATACTGCAATGTTCATAAATGTGAAAAACAGCCATAAATTGCTTTTTTCAATGCTATTGTAACATTGAATGGTCACTAAACAAATGTTGTAATTTGAGGACTACTTGTAGTATGTAATCTAGTTTGTCATCTGCCTCTAATCTAAAACTGGGCGTCTTGCAACTCCCCCCACCCCCACCCCTCAGATCCTTCCTTGTGTGTTATGTGTCTTTTAGTTGATTAGCTTGACAGGGTGGATGCCCATAATGATAATACTGTCCTATATAAGTGATTTTGGGAATCCTTTGGGAATGTTGGTATGAAAATGAAAAAGATGTATTAGCAGGCTGGTCTTAATTCAGTACAAAAATATGATAGAAAAAAAGAGCAAAGGATTCCAAAGTGGAATATTGATTGTTGGGGGAAAAAAACCTAAAGTTAAAGGCAGACAAATGGAATGAGGACATAGTATTTTGACTAGATCACTAAGAAGACATCACATTTTATTTTACTAGTTCCACTTTGTAGGTAAACTATAAAAAAGACCAACTTTCAAATAAAACAAGAATTATAAACGTAGTAGTTAAAATGAGTATATTTAGTGCTTGTCTCCTCATGCATCAGTTATGAACAGATCAAGACACTAAGGGTCACATCTTTTCCTGATTGTTTCTTGTATGTAATAATAACCATAGGAAATCTGGAGATCCTAGTTATAATAGTTAGATTTAATCATTTTATTTTCTGGAGCTCACTGACATTTGTAATATTTCCTCCTCTAATTTTATCCCAATAACTACCCTGTGAAAGTAGGATGCAGCCAGGAATGAAACTGAGATCCCCTACTCTCTTGATTTTTCTTGTTCCTTTAAATGTGGTGCTGTCCAGAAGGATTCCTTTAGTATGTCCTTCCTATTGTCCCCAATTTGAAGTCTGCTGCAAGCCTGTTAATGGCACAAATTGGTCTCAAAGAAAATAACAGGCCAAAAGTCATAATTCCATAGCTGATCTTTGTCCAGAAACCTGACCACTATACTACATTAATAACTGTCATTAGCAGTAGTATAATATATAATAGAAGTACAATTTGAGAAGGTACCAGTGTAGCCTTAGCTTATCTTGGAAAAAGCTGAACAAAAGTTAGTCCTAATTAGTACTTTGATGAAAGACCACCAGGAAGCAGCAGGATTTTTGGCTATACTGAGAAGCTGAACTTCACTTAACTTTAAATAAAAAAAGCTAAATAATATTACAATTTTAATGCTTGAAATATTGATATCCTAAATTGCAACTAATTTTGAGAGAATATCTTATTTTTTCTCCCCTGTATTTTCAAGACTTTATTTAAATAATAAAATGTCAGTACTATAACCTTGAATGGTCATATAAACTTCACTGTATTAAAATACAATGTATCAAGACTTTTAACAAAAGGATGGGGGGGGGGGGATCACATTAAAAGAATTTTAAAAATCCTGAAAGAAAATAACTCAATTCCACATTGTTGTCAAATTAAAAAAACAAAACTCAAGTGACTTTTTACCATTAGAAACTGAAGACTATATAAGCAAATAACTACTATAATAATGTGCCAGATCTATTTTCTTTCTGTACATATGTTTTTTCTAATATTATTTGTCTAGTTCTTTATGAAAAATGTATCTAGTAATAGATTTTTCATAGATACATCACTTTTTGAACGGTTAGTAGAACAAAAGTACATACTGCGCTCATAAAAAGGTCTGGATTCAAAATTTAGTTCTGAGCTTAAGCATAATATGCTGCCAAAACCTCTCCACGTTTTTTAGGTTAATTGGCAAGAGTTTAATAACTTGTTCAATGTACCAAAACCTATTTTAGGATCAAGCAGCTAGTTGGTTATGCATAATGATACCATATTAGTGTTTCTAAAACATTGCTTTCCTCGGTGCCAGTGTTTTTCAAGCTTCATCTTAATGATACTGTTGATTTATATATTTAAAATACCCCTAGGGCTTCTTTTAAGAGAAAAAAGTCTTTACCTACAAGTTTGCGTGTTCGTTATATTAAAAAAACACGTTCGGCTTCGGAATTTGCTCTTTTCTTTCTCCCTTCTATTTTGCCTTCCACTTTTCTCCCAGTTTTTAATTACGTTACGTTCATTTGTCGTTATATTATCAAAGAGAATCGCTGAACTGCTCTCGAAAGGTAATAGAAAACCTGCTTAGGAGATGAAATCGAGTCGGAGGAAAAAAGTCGAGTTCCGCGGCTTCAGCCGTGTGTTTTACTAGGAGCAGCCGGGAAGCGACTCTTTCCTTGAGGGGGTAGCTCAAGCCGAAGCCGTCTAAGTCAAGGGTCAGCCCTTGAGGTAACAATGCTGGCCGTGACGCGGGAAGCAGCGGTTGGAAAACCGTTTCATTCTCTCATAGGTGCCGAGGCACCAGGCTTCGGTGTCCGGTGACTAAAGTCGTTAGCTGGCCCTGGCACAAGAAACTGTAACCCAGACAAAAACATCAGTTCTTGAAAGCGAGGGGGTGGAAAGGCTCAACTTTGGAACCTGGGGTGTGTGTGTGTGTGTGGATTGTGACGGTTGAGGCTGACAACGCCACACAACGGCCCCTGCCCCCCTCAACCCCCCCCCTTTCTCGCTTTCAAAGCGGGACGCAGCTTAGGAAGGCAGGCGGGACGGCGGGTGGGCACGCGCGCTAGGGGGTGGGGGGGGGTGGGGGCTGAACTCGGCTCGAGCTGGGAGTTAACCACCCTTAGCCCCGCCCCCTTTTCCCGGAGGCGGCAATTGTGTAGAAGCCGCCGAGAGACTGGCTTTGTCCCGGAAGAGGGCGGGCAGCTCCAGGAGCTGGGCCGCTGCGCCAGGCGACAGTTGAGAAGGCGGAGCCCCGTCGCGCGGAGGGGGCCGGGGGCGGAGCGGGCGCGAGTGAGGAGCCGTGGGGCCTGTTCTGTGTCAGTCCGTGTGTATGTCTGTGTGTTTGTGTGTGTGTATACGTTGAGAGGGGGGGAAAAGCGACGGAGGGGCTCGAGCAGCTCCCGGAGTCCCCCTCCCGCCGCGCCCGAGGCGGCTCCCTCCCTCTATTGCCCGTATCCCCCACTCCCCCGCCTCGGCCATGGAAGAGGCATCCCGGCTGCTGGCGGGTCTCGCTCCTCCTCCTGGGGCCGCCGGAGATCCCTCGCCCCACAGACTTCAAGCGCCTCCAGGCCCACCCCAGCCCCAGGGAGCCCCCGGACTTCAGGACACGGGTGACATCTTGCAGCAGATTATGGCCATCACCGATCAGAGCCTGGACGAAGCACAGGCCAGGTGAGAAATACCTGGATACGTTCTGGCTCCGGGCATAGGAGTGGGCGGGGCAGGGCGGGGAAGAGAGATCCTGAAGCGAGATTGCCTACGTGTGGGGGGTGGGGTGGGGGGGGGGGGGGGCCCCCCCCCCCCCCC